GACGCTGGCTTGATTTCCTACCTTGTAGTAGTGTAGTAGGTTGTGTGTATGAATGAATTTATGGCGGTCAGTATAAAACACGGACTGCGGACTGGGTATAAAATACGGACTATAAAATACGGACTGGTAAAATGTATGGTAAATGAAGGCACTTCTTCTTCTTCTTCTTAAGTACTCCCCAAGATCACGAGGGGAAATGGATGTGAGTTTGAGCATTAGAAAACATAAGCTAATGTTTTGCGTCCTACTTCGCGGAGGAGTTGTGTCGGCTTTGTATCGCATATCTTCTTTCATTGCCATGAAATACGTTTACATTGTTTTTTATGGTCAGTAGCCTGGTTTCAATTAGCCTTAATTTCATCTGATTGCTTCGAGTCGTTTTTTCGATCGGTTAAGTATGGCTCGATTGTTTGCGCAATTTGCCCCGGTCGTTTGCCGGCGGAAGTTCCATGTAAAAGGCATTAAACTTGAGACTGTTCGCCGAATGGTGCGACCATCCTCAATGGCGTAGTGGCTATGTGTGGTCGGGTCAACCCAAAGGTACTGGGTTGAAATCTTGCTAATAACCTTCTTTTTCCCTTCTTCCTTTTTTTTTCTTTTTTGTTTTGTCGTGTTTGCTTATTTGTTTTGCTGCTTTTTTTTTGTTTTGAAATATATACTTAAATTACTGTTACTAAAGTGCAATAAACAGCAAGAAAAGTATTGTTTCCAGAACAAGGATAGTATATTTATAATCTGAATTTCTATCATTTCCTAAAATTCACTGTGGGAAAACAAGAGGTGATAACTAATTGATTATTTTCTAAACTATGTAGCCACGAGTTGACGATAGTCTTTCTTTGATTTTCTAATGTTAATTTGACCCATTTTTGGCTTTATATCAATTAAAGAAATGAAAAAAAAATATACATTATTATTTGAATAGCAAAAGATGTATATTGCAGGGCCTTCTCTTCCACTTTGATAACTTCCGCCATGTTGACTGTTTGATTCCACGTGGCGTCGAATTAATTGGTAGGTACTTTGTATATGGTGCATCTTATTGTACTGCAGAATAAATCTGCTGAATTGGTAGTATCGCTGGCTCGTAAAAGGACACGAAATTAATATAAACCGTTTTTTTTTGTTCTTATGAAGTATCTTTTTTGAGATAATTGCTCTAAGTATCACTTTTTTTTCTAAATTTCTCAACATTTTCTAAATTTCTCAAAAACTTCTAAATATCTCAAAAAATATCGCGATATTTGTATCTAGGCTTACCTTGCAGTAACTCCATTCTTGGCAAATTTTACTTTTTGGCATGCCCCACAAGTTTAGCATGTCAAAACACGACACCCCATAGAATATGGCATTTTCTTCTGGCAACTGTTGATTTGACATATGAACACATTCTCTTTATTGGCAAAGATGAATTCTTCAGTGGTCATGGTCTTTTGGAAAGAAGGTCTGGTTCTTTCGGATTTTCAATGTTCATGTAAATCCAACGGGTAAGATTTCAAGGCATCTGCCAGTTAGTTCTTCTGAGAGAGAACAAATATACTCATCTAACAGAACAACCTCAGTGGATGTTACTACAAAAACAGTGCCATTGGAAGAAAGCATGCATACAGAATTTCTAGAATAAGTATTCAACACATCATAATATTCTCTGTCTACAACAAACATTAAGCCCATAACATTACCTTGCAAAATCGAAGGGGCATACTTATCTATTACAAAACTATTCGTTGATGCTGTACGCAATGTATGGGGTAAATTTCATGTTTTGTAGCAATGCCAAGAGTATCAGCTTGGAATTCTTTTTCATACCCAATGAAACAGCTTTCAAACTATTTGTCTTATTTCTCACGTGACTTAAGGAATGGTTCTCGAGCGAGTATGAGACCCCCAGCATTGTGTCAAGTTAGCCATTACTTAATGCCAAACTTTATTAACGTTTTGTTCTCGCATTTCAGTAAACAGTGAACTCGATCTGTACCGAAGTTCGTGTCTGCAGGCCTCTTTAAATTTGTATTTACAACCCTCAAAGTTAAAATTTTTGTTCAGTGGCCATTTGGCGATCAGCTCTTTGGGTTTAGTCGCCAGGGGAAATTTTTAGGTGCCAAATTATATTAATAAATTAATATATCAAAATTGTCCTTAACAAAAGCAGTTAGCAAGTTTAACTTAAAATGCAGCACTGTCTATAATATACTCGTTTATTGTGCAAGGCATTAGTTACTGATAGTCTGAGAATAAGGTTTGCAGATTCATCTCCTTGAATCAATACTGAAACGGAATTGTAAAGACAATTACCATTTCCAGTTGTCTTTAGGGCCTTCAATCCTTCTGTATAATCCCCAGTTGGTATATGAGAGCAGAACTTAACTCATCCTCTGTGAATGTGTTCAAAATTTCCCAGTCGCAACTTGATAGGCGACCTATTTTTTTTTTCTGATATTTGCTTCGCATATCTTTTGCGACTTTTGTTGATGATGAACTTGTTACCCCAACTAACAAATATTTTTGGAGATTTAAAAGGGCGTTTTTAATATCGCTAAACATTGCAAAAGCCTGACAAAGGCAGGAGAGTATAGGAAGATCGACAAGTTTTCTAAATCAAATCATTGCTTTATAGACATAACGTCGCGCACGTGAAAATATTTCGCAACGAGTTGTACTGGGAAAAAATTACTGGGAAAAAATGATTTTCCCAATCAGTTGAAAGGAACCCAAACAAAAATGCTGCTTACGAAATAATAAATTTTCTTTTTCCTTTATCATCGCTACAGGTGTTTAAAAAAAACATTTTTTGCAACAACCATAAGCTGTCACTCTTGCGATGTTTAGTTTCACTTACAATTATCGCTTTTGTTTACAAAACCGCGATTCAACTCGCAGCACGGTTCACATGTTACGGTTATCACATAATGTTCTGTGTTGAATTTGCACCAATTTAGCTCTCCCTCTTCATGTTATTAGATTGTTTCAGTATTGATTCAAAAATATTTATAATATGTAGTCCAGTTAAAAAACCACCGAGCTTGGCTAGACAAGCATTCCTGAGATATCGAAGAAATCGTCACTGTCGACAAGCAAGGCGCTTCGATTGCGTGCCACTTGTCACGTGTCAAAAGTTAAAATGTCACATGCAAGGCAACAGACTGAAGGCGATAAGGCGAACGAGTACAAGTCAAGTTTCATTGATGTTCCTTTTCAAAACGCTTAGCTCTGGGACTTTTTAAGTTTTCAGTTTATTATATAGACTGTTTTTCAATGGAAAAGTAAAAAAGTAGTGTAACTTAAATCAGCTAGAATAAATGTTCTTCATATTTCAGTAGAAGTGATTACCATTTCTGTTTCTATACGCCACAACACGAACCTATTCTTCACGGTCGCCAGCTTGGCGACTATTCTCCAAATCAAGTCGCCAGTTCCAAAATTTTAGGCGCCATGGCCACTAAAATGGTCGCAACTTGGAGGGTTGATTTAACACAATACTTCAATTTCGTCTGCTGTGGGAAATAATTTGCTTGAAAAGCCTACCATTCTCTCTTTTTTGTGTGAATTCTACCGGGAATGTATTCGGCTATTGAAAACTGCGATGTGTCAGTGCGGATATCGCAAAATAAATCAGGTGAGTGCGATTTCGTTTATAATTATTATTGTAGAAATGAATTACGATTTTCGATAAAGCATTATTCGTAATTTTTACCTGTTAAACTAAAAGCCAAGCCAAACAAAGTGTAGTAAAGTGTACTTCTTTTTTAAGAGGGAATCCGTAGTTTTACTAACTTTAATCATGGTTGCTACATATCATTGCAAGACTGAGAGTTGGAATGCGGCTTTATTGTATGTATAAATAAGTCTTATACAAATTAAGTGGTCCATTGAATGCTTCATTGAGAGTGGCCGACTTCATATTATTATTGCCTCGATACATGAACTGCAGTCCTAAAAATGGGTAGTTATTTAACTTAATACGTGGCTGTGCATGCACTGAAAGGTTCTTTATATGTTAACTACGAAATTTGATTGTTTTTACGCAGGCTATAATATTGATTGTTAGATCTCTGAAATTTACAATTGGCAAGAGAATAATAATAGTGTAATTTGCTTGAAGTAGGGAGCTATATTGAAGACGGTAAAAATTAAGTTATCAAGACTCTACAATTAAAATTACTACAGTGAAACCTGATTTGTTATGGTCTGCATACCGGTAGACAATATCAGTGAGTACAATGAAACGTTTCTTTTGCCATTTTTTTTTTTTGAAAAATGAAACTGTACTTAGAGAACAGCACCTTGATCAGTCCCGTGTTAAAGTGTCTGCCTAATACTGATATTACACGTCGTTTTTTTTATTTATTTATTTTTTTGTATTTGCATGAAAAGAACTTGAAGATTAACTTAGTGTGATTATTTAATTCTTGGCGAAACAAAAAAGAAAATTAAAACGATTAAATTTATAAATTTGTGGAGCTGCTCTGATACATTTAGAATCAAATTATTATGCTTGAAGTTCAAGCTCACTGGAGGTGTACAGTTATTTTCCAGTGTTTCAATAGTTGCCTGCTCAGTTTTCTCCTCTTGTAAGCAGATTGTATGGCTGCTTCAGTTTTATAGTCTTCATACATTGGTGGAAATCCATTGTTTACTGCAAATTCGCTCTCCCATCTCTCTAATTCTTTTGAAGCATTCTGATGAGCTGCCAATACTTGTGTCTGGACCAGGGCTAAAATATCTTTGTACTTTCCATGGTGGTAACTGCTATTCTGCTTTTCGTGGAGCATTTTTCTGGCCTTATCCAAGGTCTTTACTTCAGGAGTCAAACCTAATATTTCCGAAACAGACTGAGCAAGTTTTGTTTGTAAATACTCAACTGCACAGTCAACACTTGCTGTACTACTTCTCTCTTGAATTGCAGGCTGGTTTGGTTCCAATATTTGATTACCAGCACCTGAACAGTGAACAGCACTAAAATGAGTGGGACTTGATTGTGCATCATTTGGTAAGTTAATTTAATTTGCTGTACATATTTCCTGCTCACTCATGTCTTCACCTAGCTCGTCTCCATCTAAACTGAGGTCTTTGCAAATTTCTTGTTCAGTCTCTAGCTGTTCTTCATTGACAGAGTCATCGGCTTTGTCATGAATGTTTCCATTTTCATTATCACACATTGCAGTACAGACCATCAGTTGGTCTGCACTTTGGTCACCTCCACTTTCTGGCCAAGGTTCCTCAAGGAAAATTCTGTAGTATTCTGTGAATGTTAAATTTCCATCCGGATCATAAACTTTTACCTTTCTGATTGGTAAATGAAAATCTGCTCGAGTCAAGCATTCAACCCACTTCTCTTTGAGGTATTCCCTTTCACTCTGGAAGGAAGAGGAGCGAAAGTGGTGAATTGGAGGGCTTTCATCTCGAAATTCAGGTTGTTCTTCACTGTCATGAAATGTGATTTCCTTGCTTTCCTCGTCTGCATGCCACCAAACACCCCTTCCGCAAAGAAGAAAATCGCTGATTTGTTCTAGGTGGGCCTGATAGATTTCACTGTCCAGGAGCTCATTAGGAATGGAGGTGTCAGGAAAGTTTGGGAGGTTCTTTGCAAACTGTCCAATCTTTGACTGTTGATCTGTCAGGGCACTCTTCTTAGACCTGAAGCTTCTTTCTGCTTGAACTCTTATTATACTGTTTGGAATAATGTGCTCAGGATGACAATTAGAGGTTGATTTGCTGATGGAATTTATGGTGCTGAATTCTCTTTCTTCTTCTTCAGTGTCTACTAAGCTAAGAGAAATTATACGAGATGTAAGAGGAGCATGGCATGTGATGCTGTGGTAGTATATTCCAAACAGCTTCCTGTATGTCAGCACTTGTGGGATTTTAAAGACTTTACGGACTGCAATAACATGACAAAATGTCACATTATGCAAACGCAAAATAAATCTTGGTGTGCGCTTCTCCGCTGGGGCATACAACATTTCACAAAGTTCTGCAAGAGTGTGCAGCAGTCTTTTGATTGTTAAACGGCAGTGTTTTCCAAGGTGCAAGGCCAGTACAACACAGCAAAGGCGGTAATCTGAACCTCGGAGCTTCTCTTTTGTTGAAAATACTGCCTCCATTGTCTCATCAAATAGAACTTTTTCTTCATCATTGAGGTGTTTGGGTAGTTCTTTAAGTATGTTGTTGATATGCTCTTTGAGGTCATGAAGAGGCTCTACTGGTAACACTTCATAGTTTCCTAAGCTGAGCTCTTGTAAGGAGCATTCTTGTTGGGGGAAACAAAGTCCTGGAACTCGCTGTATGCCCCTCAGTACTTCTTTCAAGTTAGATTCCAATGCAGGTTTTAGTAAACCATCAACCGATAAGTGCCGCCCCTTGCACTCTCTTATCAGCTCTTCTTTGCTCATGTTTTTGAAAGGATGCACTCCACAATTTCTTCTTTCTTTTCCAGCTGGGCCTTCCAGTACCTTTCTCCTTCTTTCTTCGAGGGTAATGTGCGGTTCCCTCAGTGAACCCACATGGTCGATATAGCTGGCTGATGCCCCAGTACATCCACAGCACCCAAAGCCACCACCAATCTGCTCTCCACTTTCTACCTCTTGCGAAGGATGATCCCCATAAAAGAACCTGCAAATGTCTCTAATGGAGACCTTTTGGGAGGACAAAAGTTGATTTCGAAGCTCATTTATTTCTTCCAGCCTAGTTTCACTGTATAAAAGCTGATCTTCAATGGTGTCCCTACATCTAGCCGTAGAGTAAATGTGAGGCTTCTCTACTAACTCCTGAACATTCTTCCCATGGAGCTCTTCAGAAGTGTAGTAGAATGCAGGATCATAGATTGCATTTACAGTTAGCAGAAGGTGGCCATGGTTCATAATGCTGGAATGGTCTGACCAGATCATGAGATGTCTTGTGCGTTCATGTAACTTTAATACCTTTAATAACTCCTCCCTTAGTCCATCTATTTTCAGCTCTCCAAGCTCCCTTAAGCGACTTTTTATGTCATCCACACTCATGCAATTGTAGTGGGGATCTGAGTGGTCTCTGACAAGACCCTCCTTCTCATGCTCCTCCAAAAGCGCTTTACGAATCTCAAGCAAAGGTATCTTCCTTCTGTTAACTGTGAAATACTCTGTTTTTAATGTACCGTCAGGCTGTAGCATTAACTTCTTGTAGCGTTTTGGTGCAATGATCTCTCCTAAGCGATATTCTCCAGCCCTAATCTTGGCCCTCAAGGTTTCTTGTAGGGCAGCATTAGTACGGGGGACAGGTGTTGTGATTTCACCACCAAACATTCGGTTGAGGCGTCTTCTTGTCACAGGCTGAGCATTTTTTCTTGGACCTGTAAACTTTGCCACATCCACCCCTTTAGTTTGAAGAAACTCTTTCACCACCATGTTTCCCACCTTACTTCTCTCTGCTGCTCCATACTTCCTGGACAGTTCTGAATAATTAATCTGAAAAGTATGTTGAAGATTTAGTATTCTTGTTTATCCCTCAGATTTCTAATTAAAATAAATGGTGGCATGAAATGTTCATCAAACAAAGACATCTGCTTTTGTTTTTCTGTTTAAGCAGAACTAGTGATTAAAAGTTATCTACAAAATAATCAGTTGATTATGCCTTATCACAAATAACATCCTCACCTTTTCACCTTCTTTCATTGAATTTACTTCTTGCAGGAGGCCCTCCTTGTCAAAGTCGATTGATGCTGGATCAGGAGAATGACGCTTCTTTTTGCGCAGACCAGCCTCCTCAAGTGCCTTCCTCTTCAAAGTTTGAACGCTTGCCTCATGGGTGGACTCGAAGTAGAGAGATTTTCTTTGCAGATCCCTCTGCTTGTGCGTGTTCCCAGCATTGTGTCACAGTCAACCTTAGACCAGTGGTCTTCTGTTTTGCGTTTGATGGACCTTAAAGTTTCCCTTCTTTCTTTTTGTTTTTGCGCCTTAGTTTTTGATTGTGTTACACCAATTTCAGGTACTTTTGTTAAGGCTTCAGCGATGTTCACGTTGTAGAGACTCTTAAATGGTTCGTTTATTTTGAAATATATCTGCTTAGCAGTATCCTGAATTGTTGCTTTACTAGGTTTTACAACTTTCGTTGTTTTCTTTTGTAAGCTTGTCACTTCCTTTGCACATGTAGACATCGGGTTGTTCACCTTAAGTTGGTTAGACTTCAACGGGAATAGTGACTGCACAGGCAGATAATTAACCGCACATGCATTGCAGTTAGATATTGTGTGCAATCCGCTGTTTGCTGCTGAAAGAGACTTCCATGCTGTAGGACTAAAATGCGTCAAGTATTTTGCTTTGTCTTCTCCCCGCCATGTATCAAAGTTTTTCAGCAACACAGGTAGTCTCTTGTCAAAAATCTTCTGAGTAACAGCGAATGCCTCTTTATTGTCTGAAAATGTACTCAAAAACTTCTGTAGACAAATGCCTTTGTCACGAATAACTTTTCCATTCTCGTCCAACATACTGTACTTTGCTACCACACGCGAGAAGCCACAGTTAAAGAATCCCACCATAACATCAACGATTTTGAGCCAATTTTTTCCTTGTTAGGAACTGATTAATTTCTCTGTAGCAATGGTAATTTTTTGAATTCTGGCGATTTATAAGCACTTAAGTTGGTTTAGAACTGTAGAAAATAATTTTCAATGAAGAACTTCTGAAACTACACCTTGCGATTGAACCCAACATGCACATCTAAAAATCGCGCCAATTCTGCGAGTATAATTTAGAATAGAAACATGATATCTTATTTACACACAAGCGTTGTTATTAGAGCCAAAGCACTCAAATTTAGGCGCACATTCTCGAGGAAAACGGAATTGATTTATAACAATGAACAAAGAGGGATTGAGATAAAAACCTCTCATCTTATTTACTATTAAGACAAACGAAATGTAGAACACACAGGGACAAAATAACATCTCTACTGTAACTAAATGCTTTTAATTCAATAAAATTGCAAATATAATTTACAGAAAACGTATGTTAGAATGAAAAACTTACACATTTCATGCAACACAGTCAATTGCAAGATCGTCCGCCATTTTGGAAATGAACGTGTTGCTATGGCAGCATCCTCGGTTTTAGTCTTCCTGACATTCAGCCGTGTGCTCAAACATGGCGGACAAGTCGGTCACTTAGGCCCGGGTCGCACTAGCAGACAAAATTGTTTTTGTTGGGATAAATTTTCAGTCAAATTTTTGTTTCCGGTAGAATTTAAAATGGCATTCATGGGTCGCACGTAAGTTACATTAATGTCATCAATCTGTCAACCGCAAAAGAAAACTCCGACTCCTGCCAAAAAGTGTCACGATATCACGCTAATAAAGATTCAACGCATCATGGTACTACCGCGAGATGCAGCATTTGCTTTTGTTGGGATTTGGTGCATTTTAACTTGTATGCAGGCTAGAATGGCAACTCTATATGGCCTACACTGTGTTTACAGACTTCACAACTTAAACATTCAGCTGGCATTGTTGGAATATGAGCGTACGATCAGGCAGCGTAGACGGCAAAGACGATACAATCCGTATCGCTGGCGTTTGCCAAGACCACGGGGATCATGGACATGCTCTCCAGCTATTGTAGCCGGAGGAAGCCGGAGGGCTTTATAATGCACATATAAAAGATTTATCAGTCCAGTTTGTCCTTTTCAAACTTATTACATCTTTTTCTATACCTTACCGGAACCCAAACCGTAACACAACACTTGAATATTATCATGTGTATCAAACTGCATTTGAACTACTTATCCTTAAATGCTTTAAGAAAATCTCCCATATATTGGTTCATACAATCCATTTGTCGCATTTGCATCTCTTGCATTTTCTCCATGCTGGATGCGATGCGTTCTCCTTGGGATTTAATCTCATCAAAAGCCCGCCTGAAGTGCTCGTCCCCATCGCCATCTTCAGCATCGTTCAGTTTGCGTTTCCTTTTGCCCTGGCCTTTCTTTCTTTCCAAGCGTGATTTCTGTGGGGCGGCAGTTTCCTTTGGATCGAGCGCTTCTTCCCTGCTGGACTCAGCAGATAGGTTTAAGGGGCTGTCGCTATCTGCTGAAGATATGGCCGATGAAGTATCCCCTGCTTCTTGCACGTGTTTCAGGGTCACAGCATCGCAGCAACCCAGAACGGCATCAATTTCATCATAGAAAATAGACTTTCGTAAGTTACCACCGGTCAATTAAGTATTTCATTTTTTGTAAACACTTGTCCACTGTCTTGTTTGTTTTGAACTTGTTATTGATGGCCTCGGCAATCTCACGCCAAGCATTTATTGAATCTTTGCTGTTGATCATATCCTGCTTGTCTGCCCATAACTGTATTAAGTAGCCCTGTTGATCGTTTGTCCACTTGTCGTATTTCTTGGCTGTGGACTGGCTGGGCTGACTGGGGGACTGACTATCAAGTTGATCGGCTTCTCCAAGTGAACTGCGCGACGTAGAGCTGGTTAAGCAGGCAAGATCGAATGGATATAAAGAACTGAACGTCGGCTGGCTACAATTGACTTCTTGGTGTCCAAGGGAAATCCTTGGGTCTGGATTCATTGCTCTAAATGGCATATAAAAGGCACGGGAGCTTGCATATGGCCACGTGGGATCCATCTTCTTACAAGGTTGCCGCCAAATCCTAGGCAAATTGATTTTACCGCCCGTTTCATTTACTAAGTGACGGTATCTTTGAACATTTGGTGCATTCCACTCATTTTTTAAAATGTCGGACAAATCGGTCGCACGGGCAAAACCTATATGATGACAGATTTTTTTGTTAAACAAACAACTTTTTACACTAGTGCGACCCGGCCCTTAGTACAATATTAAGTCCGAGGAATACGGAATTTTCTCATGGCTACAAGGTTCTTCTCTACATTCCAAGAGCAAGAGCTTGTAACCAAAAACTAGGATCTAAACGGGGTTTTCTGTTTTTCTTTAAATTAAAACTAGGATTTCTCTCGTTTTAACCTAATTAACATGCAGTGGAAATTAAGAAAAAAATTAAAAGGTATTGAGGATGCTTTTCCAAATTCCCTGATTAATTAGCAATTATTTAGTTTCTAAAGAATATATTCTAATGTTTATCCCAGAATTTCATTAGGGATAAATTGTCGTAAACATCCGCCAAAACAAGAGGACAAAATAGGCGCCAAAATATCGTTGTAAGCAATGGTCAAGTCACGTGACTTACTCTGAATATTAAGCTTGCGAAACTGTTTCGGCCTATGTAAAAGAAAAGTCTCAAAAAAGCAGTTCAAGATTTTTAGAATTTTGTTCCCAATTTTTAACCATTTTTCACATAGCCCCATTCCTTAATTCAGGTGAGTTAGTCAGGAGTGCTCAATGACCAATTTTTCAAATAAGGTTTATTTTGTTTCTGAACAACAAACTGGCACCTTTAAAGCGGTTTATGGTTAATAATTAACTTTCGTGGGAAAAAAATAGCCGCCCTCAGAGCCAGCAAGACAAAGTCCAAAGGATCCCTTTTGCCAGAAGGCAAATTCATTGAGGACCATGCTCCCAGCTAGGAATATTTCATTTGTCATTGCTTTCTACCAGCAATGTAGGATGAACATACTTTGCCAGCCAGTAAGTAGAAAAAGAAGAAAGTGATTTTTACTTAAATTTAACAAGATTTAATCAGCTATTTCAACGTTACGTCCTTTTAATATCACTGTAAAGCCATTAAGGGCCATCATCTGAACTAAGTCTAACTTAGACCGTCAAAATGCAAATATAATTTATCTCCTACTCCGCAAATATTTTTGTGTAATTCACCATAAATTACACAACAGTCTCCTTTTTGTAGGTCCTGTCCTACCTTAAGTTTTCTCGTTTGCGTTAATTTGCTTATTTGTACTGTTCGTTTGTATAAAAGTGCCCCTAGAAAAATTATGTGAAAAAGATTTAATTAGAGGAAAATGCTTCAGGATAGTACATGATCTCGCCAGTACGATCCGATAATCCCAATCCCAGCTATGCTGACTATCTGTTTAAGAATTAAGGAAATGAATTAAAGATTTTATCGCTCACCTCACGTTGTGTAATTAATGGTCTCTTGGCCAACACTTGTTATCTAAGACTCTCCAGTATCATCCACATTACGCCTGAAACCTGCCAACTTTGATGTACTATCCCATGGGAAGAGAGCGTCCATTTCCTCCCTTGATCTTCAGAACAACTTGCCTCGTACCATCCCTTTATGTGGCATACAATCTGAATACCATTAAATCTAACCTATGATTTATTATATGCATCCATGTCCATGCGTGAGGGAGACAAAGATAGCTGGATGGTCTAGCTCTCAGAGCTCTCTTTTCGTGTCTACATACTTAAATTGAGTCCACATGAACGCAAAAAATATTTAAATTTATATATAACTATCATCTATCACGACTAACACTATCATGTTCATTGACAAAATTTACGTTACTAAAAGTGTTGACAAAAGAACAATTTTTTTAAACAGCCAGATTTTCGGTATATTCTTCCTTAATTTTTAAAATCACATGATCCCTATCATGGCTGTCACCGAAATTGAGACTTCATCATGATAAAAAATAACAGCCAAAATATACATTCCTTTCATCTGTATCCATATGTACACATTATTTACTTGCTTTTCGACTATTCTGGAATTTTTTCGAGTTCTTAC